GCTGCTGTTGTTGTTGTTGTTGTTGTTGCTGTTGCGGTGGATGTGGTACACGCGGCGCATGGGTGGCCGGTAGCTGAGGAGCATGAGTGATCGGGGGAATCCGCGGTGATTGAGCTTGGGTAACCTGGGGCAAGGGAGCCTGCGGTAGATGCGGCGTCGGATGAACCTGTGGTGCCCGTGGAACATGAGGTTGAGGAGCCTGTGATGCTTGGGGCACCTGAGGAACTTGGTTTGCCTGCGGCGGGTGTTGATGCGGCACTTGAGGCGGATGAGGCGCTTGCGGCGGATGTGCCTGTGGTGGATGAGAAGGCTGCGGTAGCTGAGGTGGGTATGGCGAAGGATAAGCCCTCTGTACCTCCGACTGAATAGGTGCCAAAGACGGCGACGGGGCCATAGACGTCGTAACCGGCTGGCTGAACGGCGGAGGAGCCTGTAGCGCCTGAGGTTGATGTTGAGGCGACTGCTGCTGTTGTGGCTGCAGCGGCGGAGGCGATCGTTGCTGCTGAGGAGCAGCCAACCCATGAGTAAGTCTCGGTGGAATCGCAGACGGCGATTGCGGCGGTGAAGAAACCGCAGCACCCTGCTGCAGATGCTGGGGAAGATGATATGGAGGATATGGCGAGGGATGTTGCTGGTAATTAGCCCTGGGTATTCCCGTAGCCGCATTAGAAGCCACCGGTTGCCGAACAGGACTCGGACCAGGTGAGTCGGACATGGCCCTATTAGGCGCCGGCTGCAAAGGAGGAGCATAATGTTGGCCAGTCTGAGGAGGTATCAAGACCTGCGGCTTCATAGGTGGCGGCTGGGGTGGCCTTGTTACCACTGGATGTTGCTGTACCTGCTGAGGTGGCGGATGCGAAGGCAGCCTAGGCGAGTGCAGCGGCTGGGCAGGTTGTGATACAGGGCTGTAATGGGGATGTTGCTGTCCAGGGCCCAAAATAGAACGATGGCCAGCTTGTGGTTGATATGGAGGCTCCCATTTGAGTTGCCCACCCTGTGCCTGTCCAGGGATCAGTGGCTGTGGCTGAGGGAGAGTAGTTGCAGGGTGATGAGCAGTCTGAAGGACCGGAGACTGTCTCGAAGGTCCTGCAATGCTGTCTAGTCGTGGCAGTCCTCCGGTAGGAGTCGAAGGCTTGGGTGGCTGAGGTGGCTGAGGAGGCGCCTGGGAGAACGAAGCTGGGGGTTGAAGGACATGCGGTATCCCACCACCGGCAGTCATAGGCCTTGGAGAACCAGGACCAGACGTAATCGGACCCCGAGGAATGTTGTGATGTCCCAACCGCGGAGAGCTCACCAGCTGTGGCTGCAATGCTGCCGTTGTAGTCGGGGGTAGAGTCGGAGGCAGCGTAGTAGGAGGCAACGGTGCGGGACTCGACCTGACTGGCGGTAGCTGAGTCGTGGGAGACGGCACGCTCGCATGACGAGCGACCTCGGGCCGTGGCGGTATATGAGCGGATACCTGGGGCGGTAGCTGCGGTGGAATCGGCGGCGGCGGCGGCTGGTGCTGTTGCTGTTGATGTTGCTGCGACGGCGGCGGCGGCGGCGGCGGCGGGGGAGGAGGAGGAGGAGGAGGAGTAGGTATCGGTAGCTGGGGAGTCGAAGGAGTACGGGGAGACTGAGATTGCGGAGGCGGTAGTCGTGGTGAAGCGATCCGCGGTGAAGCAACTGGCGAAGGACCGTGACTGGCGCCATTAGGCAACCTAGCCCCGGGACCCTGAAGGGCAACTGGACTGGGAACCGAACCCAAAGCCGGACTTTGCTTATGTGCCACGGGACCGTCCTGAGCCGGTACACCATCTGGAATCTTTTGCCTCCTCTCCTGCTCCTCGTCCCGGGCAACTGCCTGCTCTAGCACCCGCACCTCAGTTTGAAGCCGGTCATAGTGTCTCTCGTACTGGTCAATCTCCTGAAGAGTCTGGTTGACGTAGGTCTGCTCGAGTTTCCGGTAAAGGCTTTCGATCTTGGGCACATATTGATGGGCCTCCCTCAGAGTGGGCAGCGGCGGGGGCTGCAAGCGTCGCCGTTTCGAGTTCGGAGACAGATCTCCATCGGGTTTGGGGCCTGGGGTGTCGTGCTCTTGCTTCAGCTCGTCCCACAGCAGGTGGAGGAAGAGCTCCTGGAGAGGCTCGGGCCTCAGTCTCGCGGCATCGTACGAGGGAGCAAGCTTGATGAGGTGGTTCTGCTGGAGAAGGTCGGCGATGCGGTGGAAGGCCTGCTGGTCGAGACCGTGTTTGGCGATGCCGCGGAGCAGGAACAGCGATTCGAGGGGAGTGTAAGCGTCGCGGCTCGTGGTAGTCATGCCCCAGACTCCACCTCGCCGGAGATCGAGGGGACTGTCACGCCGTTGCGGAAGAAGGTGAATCGGCGCCACGATCTGGGATGGTCAGTGACTGTGTCAAGTAAAGCATCTGGTAGGTAACTAGGTAGTTGTGGTGTGGTCGCATTTCTTGACCTTCCACTTGGGGCATTTAACCAGAGCACCAGAGAAATGCACCCCTCCAGACTCGCGGCCGACCACTATAATCAAGCCACTAAACGCGATGCAGCGCCCCCCGCTCGCGCGTCGCACTTTGGGGGTCGCGTCTCCCACGGGCATCTTGAGTTGACATACCGGCAGCCTTTATCCAACACGCCGGGCAGCGATCTCAATTGGGGTAGGTAGATGCGAATCAGGTCGCCGCATGTGGTAATATGAAGCCGCCTTTCGGTTGCGAAGATGGCTTCTCGATGTAATGTCTGTTTGCGCGGACTCGGAAATCGATGCCGATGATTTTTTTTTTGGCGGGTGATCTTGCAAATCTCAAAATCGCTTTGGTTGGCTATCACGTGTGATCGCTCGTCTATCGGCAGTCGGATCGTGGCCTGTCGTGGTAAAGTAGTTGATCTCTTGGCTCGGGAAGGGGGAAAAAAAAACCAAAAAAAAAAAGGTGTGTCGCTGAATCTCGGTTTGCTGCAGGCGAATGGCGGGCCGAACGTGGTTGCGATGGTTGCGGTTGAAACTTGGAGCGGGAGGGAGCGGTCGTCCCCGTCGGTTGGGCTGGAGAATTGCGTGTCGCTCAACTGTCAGTCAGTGCTCGACAAATGCAACGCGGTCCAGTGCTGGGGGTTCGATCGATCATTGTTGCCAGGGTAAAGAGCGAGCTTGCTTCTTCAGCGATCACAAGATATTCCCAGTTTAGTGTGGACTCGGGAGCATTTATTGTAACGCTCGATTCTCCCACCACGTGACTCGGCTCCGAAAATCAGGAAACCAGGGGGTCCGGTTCTTATCGGCCTGGTCATAGTCTCCGCCCGGCGAGATCTCCGGGTTCGCTTGTGGGGTCTTCCCCGGGAGCCCGGGAGCATCCGGAGAGTCTGGGGATGCGCTCCGGCCCACGTTTCAGCCTTGGACGGCGCAATAAGGTGTACATTGACCCATGACTGGATCAGTACCTGCTTGTATCACCATGCATTGTCTGCTTTCATCTTGACTAAAAAAGGCCAAGCAGTTGCACTCTGAAGTTATTTTCTAAAGAAATATGTTAAATGGCGATGGACCTCACCATGTAACCTTCCTTGATGAGTTGAGATCGAATCATCTCCACCTCGTTGCCGTGATCGTCGACTGGGACACCACTTCTGTACATGAGTGGGTGGTCTATGTGACCACCAATTTTGATTTTCGTGTGGTTTTTTGTTAGCTTAGCACTCATAGTACCCGAGACAAGATCTATCCGCTATCCCAACCCGTTCCAAAGTCTCACAAGGACACATCGAGACACTCATGGAGTAAACTATACCGGTATGGTTAAGTAGAGCTCTCGAGCTAGCAACCAAATCAGTAGTATTACCTGAACTGAGGTGTATGAGGTACCAGGGTGCCGAGTCGACTACGGTATGTGCCTTCAAGCTGTCCACGTACCCCGTAGGTTATGGGACCTCAGGAACCCGTGTTCGCGCATTTTTCGGGCATTTTTCGGGTAGAGGACTGGCGTTGAGTCTGTCATGGTGTCGGTGGTGTGGAAGTGGTGTCCGAGCATGAAAAACATGCCCTGGCAAGGGGGGCACCTGAATGGAAGGGAAGTGGGAGTTGCAGTTTGCATGCATAGGGTACCTCAAAACGGCCCCGCAGCCTCTTTTTGCAGATGTCGGTTTCGGTGTTAGGTTCATAAGGATTGTGGTTGAGATTTTGTAGGCAGCCAGGACGGGAGAGTAGGTCTAATCCTTCAAAGGTTGGTTCCCTTGTCCCCGCTCTTTACAATGGATGACGCTCTGGTGTCGGGATGCTAGCCTGTATGATCTGGACACCGGGATAAGTGTTTCATTTTGTGCCCCTGCCCACGTGTCTGTTTTTCTGGATTCTGGTTTTGTGTGTGTCATGTGGAAGTATCGACAGTTCACTGAGGTGTTCTCCGTGGTTGTAAGGTTCAACGTTGACTCCCCGGATGTTGCCCCCTTAATCTGTACGTACCCTCCATCCCCTCAATGAGATGAAGTCAGTAGTGGCCCTGAGCGGGTGACCAGTACCCACCGGGCAAACCGATAATCTCCATCATAGGGCCAGTCCAAGGAGTCAAAGGGGTCCTGGTGTCGTGCATTGCCGTCCCTTCAACCACTCAGAGGAACAGAACTCCTGACCGAGTTGTTAGTGTCAGGAGATGCCCAAGAGCGGGCAAGTCAGTGACAAAATATGACAGGCGGGCGCCATTCCATCGATGTGAAATGCAGCTGGCCGCTTTTGCCAGACAGCTGGGACCCTTGCTCACCTTGTTGGAACGAAAAACATGTTAGGTACTCCGGGCGTTGTACCGCCAAGTCCCACGCTAATTAAGGGCACTGCAGACGGTGACATTAACACCCATCCGTTCGTATACCTACCTACCTTTCCTTGCAATTGAATGATTAACCATTTCCGTTTGTCTATTTCATCCTTTGACAACTCCTCCTTGCCGTCCATCCTTTGTTCGCGTTCTTGCTTTCTTCCGTCCTCTCTTCTGCTATCCCATACTCGAGATATTATCATGTCTTCCACCACTGCTACCACAACCACCACCACCACCCATAACAACATGACCGACGAAGAGCTTGACCGCGACTGGAAGCCCAATGGCCGTCGCCCGCAATCGTGCGTTCCCAAATTCCTTATCCCCTTTCTTATTATGCGATACAGTGCCCACCCGTCATTCCATGTTCTACCCACCACGGCAAGCACGCCAAACGTCCCGCTCGGTACCTTGCATAAACCAGCCCGGCATTGAGTATCATGACGCGACGATAAGCATGGAAAGAAGCACCAAACATGACAGTGGACTAACATGGCAAACAAAATGACAGCACCATTGCGCGCAACTTCTCCCAAGAGCTGATGGACATTTTCCGCATCGACAAGGACATCACCGACCTCGACGACCAGGTCGACAAGCGGTCAGTCTCCGCCAACGCCAACGCCAAAGCCAGCGCCACGATTGACATCGATCTCGATACCCGGTTCGCATACTTCTACAGCCCCTGCTAGCACCCATTCGCTAACCCGTCTACCTTTTTGGGTGGCAACAGAAAGCAAGAAGTCGACAAAAAGACGTCTGAACTCGAAGCCCTCGAGGCGCGTATCCGTGAGATGGAGGAGAAACTCAAGAGTCAGTACCCAGCAGCTGCTGTCGGCAGCTCAGCACAGCCATCACAGATCCACACCCAGGCCCAACACGTCAAGAGCAGGCCAGGGACCATGAGACAGAGCCAGCAGGCGCCAGGTTCCGGGGCGATGCCGCCTACCCCGATAGGAAGTGAAGGTGAATTGGATTCCCCGATCGAGCCCGCTAGCCCCCGAACACCAAGAGCACCCCGACCGTCTGAACAGCCATTCTTCCACGTCGCTACATGTGCTTCCTCCGGAGATGACGCGGCATCCATTATATCCATCCAAACCGTATCCGAGACCTCCAGTTATACTGACTTTGTCCTTGTGGCCCCTAATCCAGACGGTGATCGCGAGCGAGGCCACTGAGTACCTCCACACTACTTTGAATTCGAGAGATACCCCCAATGTCTCCTCAACCTTGTCGACAGCACTGAGGGTGGAGGAGGGATCGGAATTGCGCATTACAACAGATGACGACATCTACTGAGATTTGCCGGGGAGTGACAACAACCGGGAGGGTCACACGACAGCCCATGAAGCCGTTGGCGAATCCCGGAGAACCGAATCCATGATAGACGGCGAAATACGAATACCACGACACGCTATATCAGCACTACTACAATTTTAATACTTTCTTCGCCACCGACCGGGCCAATGCCAATCGAATGCCTTTCTTCCAACGAAATGGAGACGTCCACTCTTTCTCGACTACTATGACTGCGCTTCGCTATATTCCACGTCTTGAGGAAACCCACTCCAGGACTGCTGTTAAGGAAGCGACAAAAGAAGGACTCTACCATTACCATGGCCCGGTTCACGGAGTTTTGGCTTTCGACCCCCAGATACCAGGACGCCATAACATTAATAATCATCCACTCGCTTGCACTTTTGCCTCTACACGAGGCCCACAACGATCGTTCTCGCCGGTTTGGTGTCCTGGGGCAGGACGGTTGGATGAAGGGTTCAGGGTTGGCCAAATCGCCTGGAGAAGTGGCATTTGCATGGGACGTAAGGGATTGGAGAAGGGAGAGCAGCACAAAGGATGACTCCAACGGCTCTTGGAGGGTTCACATGTCCTGTAACTACAGAGACACGACATTTGTCTAGGATTTCACGGTAGTTCAGTTGCATCTGTAGGTTGGATATATTGTACCATGTCCGGAACAGAGATTGTAACTTGGAGGGAACCATTCCCGCTCCCTAGGTGTGTGCTATGCGCAAGGGGTTCGGTAAGGGATGACAATGGCAATATTGCCCCTGTCTCCTCTGTCTTGTGCTTCTAGACGCACGTCAAGGGAAGAGGTCAGTCACTGACAGAAATTCGTAGATATACCTATCACGGTGATGGCTCCATACAAATCAGCAACTGGAATGGGAAGGAATTTATTCATGCTACCGGTCTAACTACGCCCGGACACCGGAAGAGGGGCTTATACCTTCTTGCTGAAGATGTTAAAGGGGTCAATCGCATGAAGAACCAGGGGCAATACCAACTCCAGACACTCATGACTCCGTCAAACGACCAAACCTTGTCTCGAGCGCAACAAACGCCTCTCATAATGCCCGAGACCTAAGGAACCTGAGCTACCGAGGAACTACAGCTCCTTATCAGCAAAACCCACCCGTCCTCTCATATCCAGCACAACAAAGACAGCCTTAAGGAAGATATCTCCAAGAACAGAGATATCCATGTCCATGTTGTTCTGAATACCACCCATGCATGTGGTGATTTTTTTCGGCTCGTTGTCGTCCTCTTTCTCCGCCATGTCGTCCCTACCATCGCCACCAACAAACCTCTCCAAAGAAGCAGGACGCGCAGCAGTAGTGGAAGAAGAGCCTCCGTGACCCTCCTTGACCTCTATCACAGAATAGTTGAACAGCGCTCCGGGAATGGTGGCGTGCCAACCACCCTTTTCGCGGCCAAAGGCAATTTTCAGATCCGGGAGCACGGGCTCGGGCTTCATCTTCTCTTCATCACTAAAACCAGCACTAGTAGGAGGCGGACCAGACCGCGTATGAACAGGAACCTTCAAATCGCAAGGGAACGTCCAGGTGTTGTACTCGGTGCGGAACACGGCGCCGGGAACGTGGGCGTAGTAACTTTTGACGATGGCGTCCGGGAGCATGATGTTGGAAGTACCCGTGTCGATGATAGCTTCACGTGCGAGCAGGGGCTGCGTGGCTGGAACATTTGGATCTGGCAGGGAGTCGGTGGAGGTAGTTGTAGGGGGGGAGGTCGAGGATGTGGGAGTGAGTCGAGTAGAGGGCTCAGTGTCGGCGTCCTCGAGACCGCCCGCGTTCATCCACGGCGATTGGTAGGTGCTATTGGCGATGGAGAAGAAGGCGTAGGTGGTTTGCCAGTACGGGCTAGGGCTGAGGGGGTAGTAGTTGATTTCTCCCTTGTAGGGTGCTCTTCCCTTTTCCCCAGCTGTCGCGGGAATGGAAGCCGGAATTGATCCGAAGGTGTAAGTCCCGTTGGCGCGGGTGCGCAGGTCGATGGTCATTAGAGGCTGGTCCAGTCGCTCGAAGATTTGCTCCAAGACGGTCGTCTCCGTGCCCAAGGGGTGCACATCGCTCGACATGTTGTAGGCTAGACCCATGATGCCGGAAATGGCGAGGTCTGAGGCGAGGTCGAGGCTAACTTCGAGAGCACTTTGTATGACGGCCTTGGGAAGTTCAACATTGCCCAAGCAGAGGGTGTCGTGGTACACATTTCCAGCGGCGTAGCTTCCATCCTCTGTTTTGTTTGCTGTGTCAGTCATCACCCAGCAGATCCACGGCTCAGAGCCAGAACGGGGAAAGATCGAAAAGGAAAGGCGCGACGTACCATAATGCGTAGCCCAAGAAGCATTAACAACCTTCTCCGCCGTTGTCGACTTGCCAACATCGTACAAGACCCGCAGCGTCTTGTTGGCGATGAAGGTCTCTGAGCTCAGTAGCCATAAACTGATGGAACCGGTGTCGATATTAACGACAACCGTCTGCGGAGGAGTACCAACGGTGAGTGGGGTGAGATACTCGCGCTCTTCCCAGAAGGGGGTGGCGGGGAGACTACTGCTGGAGCCTTTGGGTTTGCCGGAGACGACCCTCTTGAGACCTAAGGGGATGGAGTCAAGGTTGATGTTGGGCAACCGAGAGAGGGAACGGTAGTAGGATGCGAGACCATGGTTCGAGGGTTGATCATGATGGGCAGAGTGGAAGGCAGCGTTGTAGTGAGCCGCAAGTGAGAATGATGCCGCTGACTTCGGGTCACGGCGGGAATGATGATGTTGAGAATGAGGTAAGCCGGGCGAAACCACGGCGGCGAGGGAGTGAGCCGCGAGGAAGACGAGCGCCGAGATAAAGATGCTGAACTCCATCCTCGCTGTGTGGATTTGGGGGTTTGTTGAGGTCGAAGTTCGGGATCTGGACAAGGTTCAAGTTGGAAAGAATATTTGTAATGTTCGTGGAACTACCCCCTTTGGGTGATGATGGAAGGAACGATTCTCTTCCCACTTTCCACTTGACCTTGACAGAGGAAGTTGTAAGAAATTGAGATCTCGAGTGTGACTGCCCCCACTGTAGCTACCCTTTTATTCTAGCTACACCCGACTTGTACACGAACGCCGTTCAAGTGAACCAAGTGGTCACAGAAGCGGTCACAGAATGGAAAATATCCGATGGATTGTAAGTGACACATAATACGTGTTCGTCCAAGTTTTGATTTGATTGGCGATATCTAGTCTACTCGCCCTTCTTCAAGCGGAGGAGTCTGGTCTTCGCGGAGCGACTTTGGACTTGATACATCGGATCACATTGCGGGCAATGATAAGAGGACCGTCAGGGTTCTCACCAGTTTCGATCTCACCACCCAGTACTTTCAGGGTAGAAACAAAAAAAAAAGAATGGAAGAACATCACATTATTCATGTCCTAGCGGTGAGTGATGGTAGATATGGAGACTGAGCATGGGATGTCAGGTACCTAGGTATTTCGTGCGAACGCAAGGAAACTACGGAGGGGTTAGCAGGCTAATCACCTCGCTCTAGAACTAGTAGTAATCATTGTTTCCAAATGGTCGGTACGGTCCTTACCCACGAATATGCTTTAAAACATAAAGAGCTTCCAATTGCTGGTGTAAGAGAGGAGTGACCCCCAACTGTCCCATCTCGAAACACACATGTAGTAACACAGAAGAAGGAGCCACATCCTTCCTTCGAGAGTGTTACCCACGGTCCAAGATGCCCGGTTAGAGGACCCAGATAAAATGGAAGAAGTACAGATGTGTGACAGTCACTCACCAGGAGTAAATGCAAAGTCTAGGGCAGTTCCGTCCCGCACTGGAATCCGGGCACCGTGAAAGTGGGTCTGTTGCCGGTAGCTCGGCGGACACGGACACGGACACGGGCTTGGCATCCGGAGCGGATCCTTTCAGATGTGGACACACTCTTTTCTGATTACATGACATCAGACCTGCGGAAGTCTCCGCATGGACGTATCTGCTAATCAAAGGAGAGATCAGAACAGGGCTCGACGACAACAACAGCAGCATGAATGAAACAATTGCAGATGTTTGGTGCGAACTGACTTCTTCATGGGAATCGGGGAATGTCACAACGACAAGTCAAAAAGTCGATTAGTCTCGAAGTTTCGCAGCCAGTTGCTGGGCGCCCAGAACACTTTAGCTAATGATAGGCTAGTAACAGTAACACCCAGCAAAGAAGAGCATCCCATTGGTCAGATCCGAGCTTCATGAGTGGATACCCGACCTCACAGCTGTCCTTTCGATAAGAACAGGTATCAATTCGTGCTGAAACATGGAATGCCTGCCGCCAGCGCTGCCCGCTACCGCTACGTACAACATAACGGCAGCTCCCCTCCGAATTCCAACCAGAAAGACAACACAGCATCTTCACCACTTGAGGCCACTTTGTTGTTCTGTCTGCAGACGGAATGCCTCTTTTAGTTCCCGCCACTCCTTGAAGAGTCTTTTTATTCTCATCTTTACACCTCCACACACCCGCTCGACACCGCATACCGATCGAGAACCCCCCACCGCATACACAACGCAAACACACACAAAACGCCCACCATGGCGCGGGTGTCAACACTATCACCCTTGAGGATCTTCCTCTCCGCCATCTTCCTCTTCTCCGCCCATGTCTTTGCAGTCTCGGCTGTTCTGGGCGTTGATCTGGGCACCGAATACATCAAGGCCGCCCTCGTCAAGCCTGGCATCCCCCTCGAAATCGTCCTGACCAAAGACTCCCGTCGTAAAGAGATCTCGGCTGTCGCCTTCAAGCCCTCCTCCAATGGCCCCAAGAAGGGCGCCTATCCCGAGCGCGAGTATGGCTCCGACGCCATGGCCATCGCCCCCCGATTCCCCGGCGACGTTTACCCGAACCTCAAGGCCATCCTTGGCCTTCCCACTGGCAGTGCCCAAGTTAGAGAATACGCCGAGAGGCACCCTTCCCTGAAGTTGGAGGCGCACAAGGCAAAGGGATCTGCGGCCTTCAAGAGCGCCGGTGCTTTCACTGAAGAGGAGGAGGCTTGGCTGGTCGAGGAGTTGCTGGCCATGGAACTTCAGAGCGTTCGCGCCAATGCCGAGGCTCTTGCTGGTCCTGGTAGCTCTGTGCGCTCCGTCGTCATCACCGTCCCGCCCTTCTACACCACCGAGGAGAAGCGCGCCGTCGAGTTGTCTGCCGAATTGGCTGGTCTCAAGGTCCTCTCTCTTGTCTCTGACGGTCTCGCTGTCGGCCTCAACTATGCTACCACCCGCCAGTTCCCCAACGTTAACAAGGGCGCGAAGGCCGAGCACCACCTGGTCTTCGACATGGGCGCCGGTTCCACCAAGGCCACCGTCCTCTCAATGCAGTCGCGCACCGTCAAGGATGTCGGCAAGTTCAACAAGACTGTCCAGGAGGTTTCTGTCCTCGGCAGTGGCTGGGACCGCACTCTCGGCGGTGACGCCCTCAACTATCTTATCGTTGACGACATGATCCGCCAATTCGTCGAGTCGCCCACGGCGAAAAAGGCCGGCGTCACCCTCGAGGCCGTCAAATCCCACGGCCGCACCATCGCCAAGCTGACCAAGGAGGCTGAGCGCCTGAGACACGTCCTCTCCGCCAACCAGAACACTCAGGCCTCCTTTGAGGGCTTGTATGATGATGTCGACTTCAAGTACAAGATCACTCGCTCCGAGTTTGAAGAGATGGCGGCCACCCACGCCCAGCGCGTCAGCGCCGCGGTTAAAAATGCTCTTAGCATGGCCGGTCTGCAAATCAAGGATCTCGACTCTGTTATCCTCCACGGCGGTGCCACGCGCACCCCCTTCGTCCAGAAAGAGCTTGAGAGCTTTCTTGGAGGAGCCGACAAGATCCGCACCAACGTCAACTCGGACGAAGCCGCCGTTTTCGGTGCTGGTTTCCGCGCTGCTGAGCTTTCACCCAGCTTCAGGGTGAAGGAGATCAAGATCACCGATATTGCCTATTACCCCGCCGGAATGAGGTGGAAGAATGACGAGGGAAAGCCCAAGCACCAGCGTCTGTGGACCGCCACCTCGCCATTGGGAGCGCCCGCGAAGGAGGTCACCTTCAACAATGTCCAGGACTTGTCCGTCAGCTTCTACCAGTTGGTGGACGGTGCCGAACTTGACACCAAGGTGTTCACCACCAAGAACTTGACTGCCTCCGTGGAGGCGTTGGTGGAAAAGCACAAGTGCGAAAAGGCCGATATCAAGTTCAAGGTTGGCGTTCGTCTTCTCAGCGAGAACGGCGAAGTTGATGTCACCAAGGCCGCCGTTGAGTGCGAAGCTGATGAGCCGGAGAAGGACGGTTTTGTCGACGGTGTCAAGAACCTCTTTGGTTTTGGCAAGAAGGACAAGACTGAGGGCGAAGAGGATTCTGCTTCTGCGTCCACCGAATCATCTACTAGCACCTCTTCTTCGGCCGCTGCATCCGCCTCTGCCGAGACCAAGCCCAGTGAGCCCAAGAAGAAGCAACTCGTTCAGATTAATGTTGATTTCACCCTCACCCCCACTGGCCCCACCTCTCTCCTTTCCAAGGCCTCCATCCAAGCTCTCAAGGACCGCCTCAAGTCCTTCGCCGCCTCCGACCGCACCCGCCAACTCCGCGAGGAAGCGCTCAACCAGCTCGAAGCCTACACTTACAAGATCAGCGACATTCTGGACCGCGAGTCTTTTATTGCGCACTCCAGCGCTTCCGAGCGTGAGGCTCTTCAGCAAAAGAAGGACGAGGTCAGCGACTGGCTCTACGGCGACGGCGCCGATGCCACTCGCGAGGAATTCAAGGCCAAGCTCAATGAGCTCCAAAACATTGTTGATCCCGTCCTCAAGAGGGCGGAGGAAGCGGAGAAGAGACCTGAAATTCTCAAGGGATTGCAGGATGCTCTCGACAACACCAACAAATTCGTCAAGGACATCAGGGAAAAGATTGATGCGTACGATACCTTCCACGCTTCCGCCTCCGCTAGCGCCTCCGCTTCGTCGTCGATTGCTACCTCTTCCTCCTCTACCACAGCCCCGGCTTCTTCCGCTACCGGCGATTTCGACGGCCTAGAAGACGATGCCTCCACCACCACCGCCACCCGCGAGGACCCCATGAAGTTTTTGGAGAAGGAACTTGGTCCCGTTCCCCCTCTTTACACCCTCGAGGACCTCAAGGAATCTGAGGATTTGTATACTTCCATCTCCACCTGGCTGGAGTCGAAGATTGCTGAGCAGGAGAAGTTGGGACCCACTGATGACCCTGTATTGACGGTCAAGGACCTTTTGGAGAGAAGGGAGAAGTTGGATAAGGCGGGTATGGCGTTGGCCATGAAGGGGGTAAAGAACTTTGAGAAGACGCAGGCGAAGGGCAAGGGCGGAAAGACTAATGGAAAGGCCAAGGCGTCTGGAAGCAAGGCGGGCGGCAAGAAGAATGGAAAGGGCACCAAGGCGGGTGAAAAGCCGGCCAAGGAAACGGTCAGTGATGAGGAAATTGAGGAGATGTTGAGAAAGGTTATGGCGGATGAGAAGGCCAAGGAGGAGGCCAAGGCTCAAAAGGGAGAGAAGGAGAGCAAGGAGGAGCCGGTCAAGCATGAGGAGCTTTAAAATGGGGCATGATGCAGGTGATGTGTGTGTTTTAGCAGCAAAGCGTGTTCTGGCGTTTACAGATCCATAGATTTATCAACGTGATTATAGGGATTGCAATGTTCGCGTCAATCTGTATCTACCTGGAAGGTATTTAAACGTGTTACAAAAACGAATAACCGCTTTCCAGGTGGTCTTTTCCACTGCCATCGAGCTTCATGCCCGTGGTTCATGATCGCAAGTTGCATGTACTGAACCCTGTTCAAAACGGGGTGTTTAGAAACCTCAAGTGCGGCTGGTTAAAAGCCGACGGGACCTGCAGTTGGTGCTATTGAGAGTGGTGTGTCTTTGTGACAAGCAGGGACAGGAGGAAAAGTCCTGCCTGCCTACCCGTACTTTGCAAAACTGGTCAGATCTTGGAGCTTTCCCGCTGAAGACGCGCTAAAGACCCGCTGTTAGTGCTGCCTGCCGGATGAGGTGCCCCCGCATACTCCAAGCGTCATTGGACTTTCGTCGACGACCATCCCGTCGTTCTTCCTTCCTCCATCACCCCCACCAATAACTTCTCCCCAACTTTTCAGGTTTTCTCTGTGAAAAACAAGCCAAAAGGGCCATCGATGTTTAAATAAAATTGAATAATCCTTTCCCCTGAACGGTTCTTATCAGCATACCCGCTCGTCATTTTCAGCCGTCGGCTGTCGCCCGGCGCAGCTCTTCGCTTCTTGAACCAATCATGATGCGTAGAGGTACCGAACCATCGTCGATGCTTTGCATGGCACGATTTTGACTGTTCGGGTAGTCGAGGCCTGAAGTCGGGCAAGAGTCCATGTGGCTCTTGCTGACATCTCAGCCTCATGGTCATATTTTTTCATCATAACTATCATCATCATCCTTGACTCCAGTCCTTTGATCCCTCTTCTTCATCCTTACCTATCTATCTTTGTTCTCCGTCTCATCTCACCTAGACAACAAGAATACCTAAATATCTCCACCTGATAGCACCTCAAGACCAAATTTTCCATTCTCTGTTAACTCCCACATCTTCAACCCGACCACCCAAAACCTCGAAATGGGTGACAACTTCCAACCTCCATCCCCAGCCCCGGCTCAAGCTCCGGAACCGCAACAGAAGCCTACCCCCCAAAACGCCACCCTCCTCCAGGCCTTCGAATGGTACACCCCCCCTGATCACGCCCACTTCCTCCGTCTGTCTTCTCAGATCCCTCAACTCTCCCAGCATGGAATCTCTTCCCTTTGGATCCCACCCTCCTGCAGAGCCACCTCACCTCAGTCCAACGGCTACGACATCTACGACCTCTATGATTTAGGCGAGTTCGATCAGAAGGGTTTCGTGGCCACCAAGTGGGGGACCAAGGCTCAACTGCTGGAGCTGGCCCGGAATGGTAAAGGGTACGGCGTAGGACTCTACTGGGATGCGGTCCTCAACCATCGGTTTGGCGCTGACCATCGCGAGCGGTGCAAGGCTGTTGAAGTGGATGCCAACGATCGGAGGGTGAGAGTAAGTGGGGAGTACGAGATCGACGCCTGGGTGGGCTTTGACTTCCCTGGTCGCGGAGATCAAGAAAGCACGATGAAATACCACTGGTACCACTTCTCCGGTGTCGACTTCAACGCCGACGATCCGGGCAAGGCAGGGACTATCTACCAGATTTTGGGGGAGCAAAGCCAAGGGTGGGCCAAGAGTCCTGAGGATGTTGATGGTGAAAAGGGCAATTACGATTATCTGATGGGGTGTGATATGGATTACAGTCATCCGGAGGTGGTGGACGATGTGCTGAACTGGGGACGGTGGCTGGCAAAAGAGGTCTCAATCAAGGGAATCAGATTTGATGCCGTCAAGCATTTCAGTGAGAGTTTCTTAAAGAAATTCGTGAAAATGCTTGATGGAGAATTTGGCGAGGGGTGGTTCTTGGTGGGCGAGTTTTGGAAGGATTCGTTACAGAGCATGGTATGTTGTTGCTGAACTTGTCGACAGTGGCGTAGCTGTATCACTAACTTGTGATAGACTGATTATCTCGACCGGATGGACCACAAGTTCTCGCTGTTTGATGCACCCTTGGTTTACAACTTTGGTGAAATCAGCACGAGTGTCTCTGCTGATCTGAGGAAGGTGTTTGACGACACGCTGGTGCAAAAAGCTCCCGTCTGCGCTGTGGCATGTTCTCCTTTTCTCTTCTTCACTCTCCGTCTTTGCTCCCTTTTCCTTTCTTGCCTCTATATTCTTACATTCTCTGATCTTCCATGTGTCATCTCCACGACCTCGCTATTTACTTCTAGTTCCACCCTTCTCTTATGTCCCACCCTTCCGAACCTACCTTCCTCATCCTTCCCAACAAAACACAACATCCGCTAACAGCACCCTGTAACAGACACTCGTTCAAAATCACGACACCCAACCGCTCCAAGCTCTCCACGTCCCCATAACTCCCTGGTTCCTCCCCCTCGGCTACGCCCTCATTCTCCTCCGTGAAGCCGGCTACCCCTGTGTCTTCTACGGCGACCTGTACGGTCTTTGCACCCCTACGTCTGATAACCCGTCTCCCGCCAGACCAACCAGCGGTCCTGTAACTATCATCCCTAAGCTTCTTCTGGCCAGAAAGCTATATGCGTATGGACCGCAGACGGACTATTTTGACTATCCCACCTGCATCGGCTGGGTCCGTCACGGGACGTGGGACAGAAAGGATAAATGCGCGGTGGTGATGAGTAATGCGGGAGAGGGGTGGAAGTGGATGTTTGTGGGCGTGGAATGCGCTGGCCAACAGTGGACGGATGTGTTGGAGTGGAGGGAGGAGGTGGTCACGATAGGGGAAAACGGATGGGCGGAGTTCAGATGTGGTGGTTGTAGTGTGAGTGTTTGGGTTTGGGAGGGGGCGGAGGGCAGGGACGAGTTCGAGACTCAGTTTGACTTCGACATATATGCTGCCTCTACTGCCAAGTGAGGTTGAGGGACTGCAAACTTGGGGTGCCTTTAGTGGAAGGGGTGAGACGGAAATAAGTAAAAGGATATCGGAGAAAGGGCGGTGGATGAATGGGGAGGATGTGAAACAACAAATCCCGAAGGACAGGAGTGCAAAAGATTGTTCGAATCGTGGAGGCATGTCAGGCACAAAGATCGAGGGAGTCCATCAAACAACAAAGTGAGGAAGTCAGTTTATATTGCTATCAACATTAGTTTTCTCCTCCAGCCCTCTCCACCGAGAGCTATTTGAGTGTCGACAGCAACCTTCGATCCTTCCGAAATATGCCTAGAGGTACTGTGTAAGGAGCAATACAGCCGGTTAAGTACCACTTATATGTGGACAAACCTCTAAGCTCATGCTACGAAACAGATAAAATGCCATCGTAGATGCCTTCCGATCCGAACTCCGACGCTGAGATGCAAGTCTTTCAAGCGAAGGTCATAAACTATGAATTCTTGGTAAACTCTAGTCATTACCCTTCAACTACCAAGTGCCAGTCCAGTTGGCGAATCAGATCAGATCAGACCAGATCAGAACATGCTGAATCTGAAGTCCCAAAGTCTGAGTTCCAGGATCCGGATCCGAGTTCAAATCTGAGTCGGGACAGCCACCCTACCGCCATCAACACCCGGCAAAAAAACCTCCGTGTTCGAGGAGCTCGGCTCCGGCCAACACTGCCAATCGTAATAACAAGGCTGCATCGTCAGCGTGACAGAGTCATCGGTATAGCTCGCAGTGAAGTACCACGACAAGTCATGGGTAGACTCGGGCTCATCGTTGGCATCGTTCTGCTTGCCGGCCTGAACGCCCTCGTGCTCGAGATGCTTGGCCTGAACGCCTTTGCCAACCTTGGAGATGCGCTCGACAGCACCCTCGCCACCGTTGAGGATGGTAGTGCGGACTTGCTCCTTGGGACGAGGCATGGACGGGGCGGGGGTGGTCACGCTGAGGGCGGCCTCCTCCAGCGGATTCGGGGCGGGAGCGGGAATGGGGAGGACGTGATAACCTGGGGCGATGGAGACGCTGGTCTCGATGGGCGAGACGGGGGAAGAGGGAGCAGAGCGACGGTGGACGCCGAGGATGGTGCTGGTGACCATCGTGTTCTGCTCGGTCCAGGTTCCGGAGGGAGGAGCAAGCGGGTAGCTACGCGTGGGACGGATGACGGGAGCAGGAGTGTCGGTGACGTCACCGCTGTTGGGGAGCAACAGGGTGTAGGTAGTGGCCATGGTGCCGAAAGTGAAGGTCAAGGTGGTGTACTGCTTCTCGGGGGCAGCCTGCTGCTCAACCTGGAGACCACGGGGGCGGACGAGGTTGCTTGAGGTTTCACCGTAAGTGCTGCTGTGGCTAATATGATCGGCAGAGACGGTGACAACAACCGGGGTGACGGTGATGGTGGCTTTGGGGACGAAGGCGGCGGCTGAGTTGGTGAAGACAGAAGCCGTGATGGCATCGGCGGAGGCCGCGATGGTAACGCTTTTGATGTCGGTCTCGACCTCGGTCACGATGCTCTCAGTCTCGGAGTCGGACTCGGTCGCGGTGTTGCTGGCGCCGTAACCGCCTGTAGGCACAGCCGCGGCGGCAGTCTCAGTGGCATGAGCGTGCCCCTGGTGAGTATCAGTCGAGAAAATGGGCTTAGGAATACCCGGCAAGCCATCGATGTGGAACTCCGCGCTGGCTGTGGTAGTGATGGTTTTGTGGCCAGTGAGCTCACGGGTAGATCTCTCGATGTAGGGCGCGGCCAGGACCTGGGTGAGGCCGGCGCTTAAGGTGAGAAAAACGTGAGACTTCATTGTCGCGTTCTTGCCTCGTTGTTTGGCGAGGGAGCGAGTTGTGCGGTGTTGGCTTGGTTCTTGCTTAGCTGAGAGCTTGCGTGGCGTAACCCTGATGGGCGAACGATAATCTTGAGATCAAGACCGTGATGGCGTTGTAGGTGTTTTAACGGAAGGAGAGAAGAATGTTTCTGGGAGGATGAAGGGGGGCGTGGAGGGGCTGCTGCCATTATTCTTCCAAGAGGCTCCTGTTGCGTCACCGGTTCCTGCCAGCTGCCTGCCTAGTTCAACTTCAGACGAAGGTCTAACATCAGGCATGAAGTGCCAAGTATTCCTCAGCACATAACTTATCATTCACAGGAAGGTACGGAGTGAAGAGCCGTGAGGCAAGGCGTAAAGGGCATGCAAACATTAGGTAAGTACTGACATCAGACGAAAAAAGGTACGGTATCGATCCAGCCAGCTCGAGACCCAGTGACCAGCCAGCTAATCTTCTACAAATACATGATCGGGTGGACTTGTCACGCTGCTGCAACGTTTACCTTGTTGGCAGAGTGGTTTACGGTCAATGCTGAAGACAAAGGTTGAACGAGATGGCGACTCCAGTTGAAGTCTGTGAGGCGACCAGGCATACGAGACTACCTCTACTCTAGAAGTTTTATCTGTATTGGGTAAAAGTACTTATACCTCTACCGTGCCTCTACTTCTGTAACCCTTGGACGGTGACGGCGGCGGTTACTCGTTCTTCCATCATCGCGGAGACAAACAACGGACCGTGGGGAGAAAAGGGTGATTATGGATACCATGGAACAAAGGACCAACTTCACCCGAAAGGACTGGAAACAATGTGTGATCACACATTAACGAGTACAACACTCGTCCGCAGTAAATTTCCCAAAACCTAAAAAAAAAACAAGCAAATACCATTCCGAAAACAGAGAATCACCGATTCCACAACCCTCCGTGTTACATACCGTTTCTTCTCCTTCCTCCGCTCTTACTCCTAGCAATATGCGCCGTCAGACGCTTCTTGGTATCCACCAAACTCCTCTTATGCTTCGCCCTCGCCTTACCAACCGTCATCAGGAAGTTCTTCTTTCTCGCCTTCTCCTTGTTCGTCGACGACTTGCCCTCAGCCTCCTTCTTGGATTTCCTGATTGCCTGCGTCGACTTGTGCTCCTCACGCGCAGGCTTGCCATCCTTGGCCATGGCCACTCGCTCTTCCTTGGTGCTCTTCTTGCCAATCTGGGCAGGCAACTCGATGTCGTCGGCGGTAACACCGTCTTCGATGTGCTTGGCGATAAGTTCTTGTCTCCTCTTGGAGACGGTGCCTGTCATCTTATCTAATTGGGCCTCCCGGCGGAGCTCTGCCAGTTTGGCGAGGTCGGCGGGCGTGAGGATGGTGGTCATGGCGAGCTTGGAGATGCGGTTGGCTTCGGCGGCGGCGGCCATGGCTTCGTCGGAGATGAGATCAGGAGCCGTTGAGCTGTCACGACGCTGCTTCTTGGCTGCAGGCCCTTCGTCCTCGTCCTCGGAGTGCTCGACGTTAATCCACCCGGTGGAAGAGTCAGAATCGTTGGAGGCGACTTCCCACTCGTCGGAATTGAACCCATCTTCGTCATCATCATCATCCTTCATCTTAGCGTCTCCATCAGCATCCTCACCCTTCTCAGCGAGTTTCTTGAGTCTCTGCTCCTCCTTGTACTTCTCGAGAAGCTCGATACCCTCAATACCGCTCTCCACTTGCTCTTCACCAAACTTGAGCCTCTTGACCTCACCCGACTTCAATCCCATGGTTGCCTCCTTTCCGCGGAACTTCTTTTGCAGCAGCTCGGGGTAAACTTCACGGTAAAGAGACTGAAGACCCTTGGCGGCCATTACCACGCCCTTGTCCTTGGACTTTTGGTACATGACTAGATCTTGAAGGAGGGTCTCGCTCATGCAGAGTGGTTGGCGCAGAGCGACTTCACGGATAGAGTTGATACCGGCAGAAGCAACTTCGGCGGCAGAAGCCTCCGAGACGAACTCATTGGCGATCTTGACAACGAGAGGTTCGATGGCGTCGGGAGGGACGTGGTTGTGTGTCGCCTGCGCCAAAGAAGCGAGGAATGAAGTAACGGACGGTTGCTTGGGCGTCAGGTACTTGGTGAACCACGGATACAAGGAAATGATGGTGAGCTTGTGCAGACCGACCAGACGGGTGACGAGCTGGAGGACCAGTAGCTTGTTGTCGAGGGAGAACTTGCACTTGGTATTCTGCAGGTGTTTCTGGAAAAGCTGCTCGGCGAAGCCTTGAGGATCGTGAATGAGGTGGAGAGCCGAGAAGTTCAGCGGATGAGGGGCGTGCTTCTTGCGCTCCTGCTTCTTGATCTTTTCCATGGCCTTCTCCATGGCCTTTTGACGCTTCTTGGTCTTTTTGTTGATAGTGCCCTGATGCTTGACCTTCTTAATGTCAATCTCCTCGTCACTAGAGTCGTCCTCCATCTCCTCGCGCTCCTTGTCGCCGCCCAAGAAGAAGCGGACACCACCAACGACGACCTTTTCGTTGTCGGACAAACAGGCCTCCTTCATGACGTCGCAGGGCCGGGCGTCGGTCCAGATCTGGCGGCGCCACAGCTCGCGGGTGATGCGGCAGGCCCACATGCCCTTGGTCGAAGTGCGGTCCGAGGTAACGAGGTTGTGCAAAACGGTTTGGATGGTGCGGTTGAGCTTGTGGTTGGTGGCCTTGGAATTAGACTCGCGCAGGTCGCTGACGATCTTGGTGTACAGGAGGGAGCGGAGGGACTTGGAGGGCGTCGAGATCAAAATGGGGAAGAGGGTGGTGAGCAGGCTGGTCGAGTCGATGACATCCTTGCGACGGAGGAGAGACAAGCTGCCGACGACCTTTTCGCGAAGATCGGGGTTGAGCACGGCATGGTGTTGGGTCAAGAGCTCCTTGAGGTGGTCAAAGTAGGGGGCGGTGACATCCGGGTAGAGATCGGCGACGTGGGCGACGAGGTCAACGAGGTCGTGGAATTTCTTGTTGTCTTCGCTGGAAGCGGAGGAAGGGGACGAGATGAAGATTTGTCGTTGGGCGTCGTATGCGAGCCACTGGTCGTAGAACTCTTGGGCATAGGATCTGGAGGAGGAGGCCAGGGTGTTAGTAAACAGAAGCAACTGACGATGAGGGCAGCAATGGGCGACGACGACGACGACAACAACAAGAACAACTCACTTGGGATCCCTCCTGATCTTGTACTGCAAACTGACTAGGTCAGCGTCGACCTTTTCGAGGGCGGCCACCTTTCTCTTGGGCATCTTGGCGGCTGGAGAAGGACGGTATTCTGAGTGATGTTGAGATGCGAGTCGCAACAAGAGTGGAAGCCGGTTCCCTCTGCTCTGTTCAGTTCCAGTTCTCTGGCGCAATCCTCAACCCTCGCTTTGCCTGGAGCTTCAGCGGTCCAGAATTTTTTGGGAAATTGATTCCTTATCGGATCCTTATCAGTTGCGCCAGTGGAGTTGGTGGACGTTCCAGGCGGGGAGGACCCTGAACAGCGGCATTCTGCGCCCCACTTGAACTGTGCCCTTTTAAATTTTCTTTTTCTGCCGCGTTTTTTCTTGGATTTCTCTTCCCTTTTGCTTTCCACAAATCACCATTCACTTGGGCGATTGACGACAGCAGCTGCTCCCCGCGGTTTGCTATTCCCATTCCGGCGATGATGCATTCCTCATCCGCCACTTGAACTTGGACAACCGAGACGATTGGCATATGCTGTCTTTCGTTTCGTCCTTCATCTCCCAACAACATGCGGCTCTTCCTCGTTCGACACGGAGAGACTGTCGACAACGTGGCCGGTTTATAGTACGTTTAATCCAGCAGACCATGTCCACAGGACAACTGGCTAACCTTTCCCAGCGCAGGCATCCGTGATTCCCCCCTCACCACCCACGGTGTTTTGCAGGCACGTCGTCTAGCCTCGCACTTTGCCTCGCGGTCGTGCTCAATTGGTCCTGTCACGCACATCTTCTCTTCCGATCTGCAGCGCGCAGTCAGTACTGCCCAGGCCATTGTGGACGCCCAGGTGACGAAGGCAACGGAGAAGGAAGATACGGACCATTCCAAGCTCCAATTGGTTCAGGTTGTCGAGCTTCGCGAACGCGATTTCCGATCTGCCGAGGGGAAGCGCTTTGGCACACCGCATCCCGATGCCGAAACGCATGACGAGATGCGCGCGCGAGCCACCGATTTCGTACAAGCCCACCTGGATCCGCTGCTGGACAGTATCTCCAATGGTGATAACTGCAAGACCAACACCTCCGTCGTGGTTATCGCGCATGGCTTGATACTCAACTCGCTCTTGAGATCACTTTTGGCGCGTTATGCCCCAGAAGAGATGACGAGGCTTGCAAAGCTGTCGTCGGGTTCTGTTGCCGGAAGGTCAGACTTTCTCGCTGCTTGGAGCAACACTGGATATCTCGAGATGAAGGTGGATGCCATCGCCTCGTCTGAGGAGACCGAGAAGTCGACTGTTCAGTTGACTGTCGTCCGGGTCAACGTCCTTGACCACCTCCACGGCCTGAAAAGGACCAGGGGTGGCATTGGCAGTGCCCAGTTTGACAGTAAACAGAAGACGATGGATTCGTTCTTCAAACCCGCTGCCAAAAAGCGACGGGTTGATTGATCGGTGTCAGCAATTGGTATGTTCCTGCCTCCTTTCTTCATTTACACCACACACCCTCCCTGCTTTTTATGATGAGAAAAACAATGTTCACAGACCTGTACCGAAACACTATGTGGAAAAACTTGTCCAACCGCTATCTGAGAAAGCACATCACAATTGTCCTTGTTATCATTGTCTTGATGTGAGCGCCGTTGCTAACGGGTATCAAAGACAGGATATCTTGAACTGGCACCACTCGAGGCTTGCTGGAATACGCCAAGCCATCGTCACTTCGGTCCACTTCAGAATAGCTCTCAATGACACCTGATCATCTTCGTAACCTTCCCTTCTGTAAATCTGTGTGACTCTTGATATCGCTTGTATGCTATGATTATGCTCTTTGAGTCCTTTGATGATAATGTCTGTCTCAACTATTCCTCATCGCTTTCGCCTTCCCCGCTATCAGTGGACTCTAGCTCCTCTCCTTCCTCCGACGGTAGTATCCTTGGGAACCATCCATACTCTGCGAAGTCAACCATGAGCTCTCCCAGCGCCCCCGTTGTAACAACCACCCCTTCGGCCTCTAACGCCGCCGCTTGGCTGCGTGAACCTTCCGGCTGAGATCTTATAAAAAATGGGCTGTCAGTATGTAATCGGTCACATACATTGACGATCCACATGTAGTTCAACAGGCAATTCTCCTTTGAGCCGATGTCTGAGCTGCCATTGGAAGCGCACATACCGAGGAGAAATAACGCCCTTGGCATTGATCACTCTCTGCCAGGGTACATTCTCATGGTTGAACCGGGCTGACGGGTCAATGGGGAGGTGTTTGAGGCAGACTCCTACCTGCCGGGGCCGTTGCGCTGTTGAGTTTATGTTGCTTGTCAGCATTTCCACCTGTGTGGTACGGAAAGGGAGATTGGTGGTATCAGGATGAGGTGCATCTCGTGAACCGATGTGAGCAGGAAGGATCTGCATACGTGTCCCAACCAGCTTTGCAATGTGGCCGTAGCTGGTGACTTTGCCGTGTGGAATCTCTTGCACGGCGCTGTAGACGGCATGGAAAAAAGCTTGTGCTTCTTCGGAGCGAGCCATCTCAGCGATAATTGAGTCTGATTCTTGGCGGGGAGGTGATTCGGAGCAGTGAGAGTGGCTGCATTTATTAAGTTGCGCTGGGGAATGAATGCTGATGTCAAGTTCGTGACAAGAACAGTTGTGGCGGGTGTATGGAAGTTTTCACTCCCCCACATTACTCATTTCTTTTACTGCGAAGTTTGGCACGGTCAGTTTTCCCTCGGCGCAATCGTCGTCAAAAGCATTCACGAACGAGACAAACACCTTCCGTACTGTCTGCAAGAAGTTCTGACGAAAGAGCTTGCCAAATGATCATTGTGTTGGTGCTTGGATGATGGAAAAACTGCAAAAAAAGATAAATTGGACAATACCGGGATTGAACCGGTGACCTTCCACAAAGATGACCGAATAGTCGACATGCGAAGCGGAAATCATACCACTAGACCAATTGCCCAGGAAGGTTAAAATTCGAAATGGAAAACCTTGTTCATGACTGGTGCAGTACCGCAGGTCTCACCTCTGTTCTAGAAGTCTCGTTCTGGATCCAGATCTTCCAGCCAGTCATCGTATGTGTCAAATCTTACATTTATCGGCGTGAAAATCATTCTTCGGAAACTGACAACCCGTGCCGCAACAGTGACCGTGACAACCAGTCACACTTCCTCAATTCTCTTCCTTTCCTCTCCCTTTTCTCGAACTTGGATGAACATTTCGAAGTGTCAATTCACAATGCCGCGACACCGTGAGCCAGCACGCGGCGACATGGGGGCCTTCACTGTCGCGTCTCGCGACATCCACCCTCTTCTGTCAAAGCGCTTTGAACTTCTATCTCAACGTCTAATAACCTCCAAGCTGGCGACATTGTAAAATTATCACAGGACTGTTGCGGCGCCACTCTCCTCGGATGACGTGCGGGGCAACTGAAAACCTACCTTGACACCAACTAGGTTAACCCTACGCCCCTTCCGACCGACGAGCCCCCTTCATCACCCTACTGCATAGAGGTACGTACCTCCTAGGTACGTTAGTCTGACGCACCTTCCTTCTCTGATGCTCAGTGACAGCAATCTTCGATTGTATCCGGTCACATCACAGACATGTCACAATCTGATATCGACAGCCGTCGCTGAGCATTGCATGGGATCGACAAAATACCTTATGCCATCAAGATGGCCCCCCTTCACTTCATGGCACCAAATCCTGCGAACTTCACGATCGTGCTACCAGGCACTTACGTCGGCGCATGCCCTCTGCTATCACATTACCTGAGCCCCAGCCTTCGGGCCAACTGTACACCTCTGTAGGTACCAAAAAGCTGCAAACCCCATGATAACTAACTTAGACTCTGACCCTACTTCCATCTAGTTTCACTGATGTTAACGTCATTCGTATAGTTGCGCCTCGCTGCGACTCTTCAAGTTCAAATCCACACCCCAAACTCGAATGACACTGAAAGAAGTCACCCGCAAGCTTAGAGGTACCTACCTTTCTGCTGGAGTCCTGGACAGTGGATGAAACCTGGGGCAACCGGTACATCTCGGACGCGCTGACCGTGCGTGACAGGAGAGAAGAGCGCCTCTCCCGAACGGTCTGGCATCATTCAGATCTTGCTTTAGATGGATCAAATCCTGGTACGTGAGGTTCGCATGCGATCATGATCATGTCACGAGAGCAGAGCTAAGGTAGAGGCCCTGCCATGCCTGGGGCTTAAGCACGAAGCTAGAGGTAACCTTCGTCTGAACCGACACCCAAGACACTCCCTTCGGTCCTGACGCGCACTTTCCATACTCAAACCCTTCCGAAACCCCGAAATGCGAGACCAGATCAAGCAATTGATACGAAAAAGACATCGAAACTTGTTGCGCATCTACCTCTAGAATCGCCGCTATGTTAGAACCCACGACAGTTTCGCTGGTATTGGCCGGCTGAATGTTCAGAGGCGAATATTATTTGTGTGTTTGTTGGCTTCCACACGCTAGCCATTTTGCGCTCATTGCCTCAGTCTCCCTCTCGACCCTCATTCCAACTATCCTCAGAGCCTTCGACTTCACCTTCGTCATCAGCCAGCACCAGCAATATAGACCTCTTCGTAGGCCCCATCGCTGCCTACGGCCTCCACAATCCCCTCTCCTTCCCCAGCCCGCTTCCTCCTTGTTGACTGAGGTGGTCATCGTACGCAAAGTTGATATCTATACAGGGCACAGTGGGACTTATCACTCTTAGATACGATTGGGAAATTGGTGGGGTGTCGGACGAAGACCCAAGGCTGCCAAAGCCTGGAGAGGGGAGTGGACAGAGAGAGAACGGGTATCTGGAAATCGAGGAAAGCAGACGGCTGATGATTTGGCGATTTTTTTAGCGGTATAGTACAGGCAATCACGCAACGGGAGATATCATCACTCATGACCGAATAGTGAGCCCTAAGGTTTCGAGTGCGAGGGATGTACCGATACGAGATTTCATCTTGTGTAGCATGCTAGGGTACATTGGATGGCAAGGAGAAGAAAGACGGACTCAGACTCTCCAGAGACCTGCTCGGCCATTCCACCAAGCAGAATACCCGAACCCATCGAAGGCGAGGAAGGATTTCACATAAATTACCTCCAGAATGGAAGATTTGGGGTTTATCTCCAAAGCAAGGTTGAGTCGGGGCTGTACCCAAGATTGCGATTACAACTATACAGGGTGATTACCTAGGTACGTAAAGGCCAACTGGAGATCAAACTGAAAGCCGGATTGGAGACGGGATTGATATGGAGCTGAATATCGTGATTCAGTGGGGGCAAGACTACCTCTTTGTCCCAATCAGGCGCTTACAGGCCCTGAGAGACTCGAAGCCCAAATCTAAGAGCACAGGAGCAGATATAATCTCAAGTGCTGTGCCTTGGCGGCCTGAAAATGGTTAGCACACTGACTGCAACCGAGGTCGAGCCTTGAGTCCGAATGGCGGGTAGATGGCGGGCTAAAAACGAGGCCAAGGACGGTTGGAATTTCAGACCGTCATTGAGTGGCTCACGACGATGCTGATGACGATGACACGAAAGCGCCGCGGTATTCGGATGCCGTGGCTAGGCGGTGACAATACTGATAGCGGCGGTCAATGATGTCGCATGCCTCTTTCCCTACGGAGCTCTCTGTTCTTTATCTCTCTCCTTCCTGATGTTGCCCCTTTCTAGCCCTGTGCCGAGTAGGTAGGTAGGTAGGTATGTTGTTACTGGAGCTTGGGTTGTGCCCAAGAGGTCAGGCCGCGCGAGAAAGGGAGGTGCTGGTTGGCAATCGGCATACATACCTCTAGGTAGGTAATGCGGTCGGATGGATGCGTGGAAGGTTATGTTCATAGCAGGGGCAAGCATAACAGGTAGTTCAGGCAGTTTGGCGGTAATATCCAGAGCCTCATGAGCTGATCATACTGGCTGTGCCCATGGATCTTGGTGGCTCAGCCAGGCTTGAATCTTGGCAGGCATTTTCTCTAGGTAGTCTTTTCAGACTAGGTACCTAGCGTACGTGCGTGCAGAGGTATACTCATAGCCGAAAAGCTGAGACCCTGCACTCATCATTCATGCTTAAAAATGTTTCGGCCTTTTGATGCTGCCTCGGCATAAAACAAGACAAAGATGGAAAGCGCGGTGGTCTGGTGGTTGAGTCGGTTGCAACCGAGATATGGGCATTGTTATTGGGATAGGTATCCAGAAGATACTTGTTGTAGTTGCCCGACAGTGAGTCGGAGTATCAGGCGTCGAGTCTTCGAGTCTAGGTATGCACTGAAAACTGCAGTTGACTGCCAATTTCATGCCATCAAATATTATCGTGCCCCGATGAGCAGAGAGGTTACTGGGCAGAGGGAGAACGCAATCTGGTGTGTGATCATCAAAACAGTAGATGATGGCTCAAGGGAGGCCATACATCTACCACTTTCTAGAAGTCTTTATCGGAAGGCTAGAAATGGCGATAACGAAAAGTGGTTGATTCTTGTTGTCTAATAGAAGAGAAACGGAAACAGGACAGCCTAGAAATACCTGGAGGTAGACGGTACCTCTAGTGCCAGTGAAGGGCGGCCCAGGACACGGACTTCGTGCTAATAGGGGCAGTCTTCTACACCTCCGCAGGGGGAAAAGTTGTTAGCTCGGTACAGCCAAGCCGCCAGCCAAGCCACTAAAGCACTACAATAAGCCAGGGTATTAATATTGGGAAAAGTGGCATTTATTGTCCACCATCTTATCTATCATTTTATCTAATAATCAATGGAGTCTCCATTTGCCTCAAATGGCGATGCCTCGAGGAATGGTAGTGACCGTTGCCTAGTCTCTCATGACAGACGTTCAACCTTAGTTAGCCCCCATCCACTTCCCCGCCACCCCGTAGCACAGTCGTTTTGGACCTATAGGGCTAAATAGTATAATATTAGGATTACGTCTATACACAATTTGGACGAAAGTACTCAATATATATAAAAAATATCCTATCTCAATACTAATACTCAATAATTACACTACTACAAAAACTATAATCTCGATTAAACAAATTATCCAAAAATAGGACGAATAGTATATTAATTTTTCTAAACTTCAAATTACATTTCTACAATACTTTTATTATTTACTAATACTATAGGGGTAACTTTTATTAAATATAGAATTATATTCCGAAGGATCGTATACTATTTTTCTACAACTTTACATCGTATATACGCGAAATTTCGTATATATAATAAAAGGCTATAAATTTAATATTAATGAAATAATAGAATTATTTTATTATATTACTAGTTTTTAGTAGCCTAATACGTTTCTACTTTTTAAATTAACTCTCTAAAATTAAATTGCCTAGGGATTGTATTATATAGTATCTACTAATAATAAAAGTATATAATATTATTTTATTAATGTAATTACTACCTATCTATTAAATTAGAAGTTACCTACAGATTTAGACTAATACTATATAAAATTTAATTAAATTAAATCTATCTATTATATTATTTACTAATATAGTAATACGATTTTAATTATTCGTATAGGATATAGTAAGAGTATTATCTTCTAAATAGTATTTATTATTTTAATTAATTAAATTACTATTTAAATTATACTATTTAATCAATTTAATAAAAAATAGCGGGATATTATTATTAAATTTCCTAATACCCAACCTATTTTAATCGATTAATTAATTATAAAGGTAAGAACCTATTTACTCTTAATTTAAATTTAATAGGGGGAACTTTTTTAAAAATTCCCCCTATTGAATTTAAATAGATATACACTAACTATATACTAATACCCTTACTTCTAGTTAAATCTAGAATTTAGAAATTATATATATATCCTCCTCGATTTAAAATAAATTATATATATAAGGTTTATAGAATTATTATATACGGCTTTATTTAATTAGTGTATTGTATTTATTACTATAAATAAATTATATATTATATTTTAATAATATACTTTTCGG